ACGGAGACCGCTTTACCGCCACTGCTATTATTATTGCCCACAATTGTTCCGCAGCAAGAGAAAGGTCAACCCGTGTTCAACGTATTCGAAGCTTTTTATCATAGATAAAACGTGTTACCTACTGATACCGCATATTACTAAGCGGAAAAAAATGTAATTATATTTTATCGTTGCACGACGTGAACAACAAGTGTATTTCACTTTGTTTACAATGATATACGATCTAATAAAACGGTAAAAATATAATAATCATTTGCATAATATTCACGGACATCTGTGACTTCCTTTTTTCAATTTATTCAATTCATTATACATATATGTTTCTCACAGGCCTGTACTTCCCCGATTCCTCTTATTATCGATAGACCTGTCACCGTACTTTCGTAATGTAGTCACTTCTTAGTACATGCAATATGCATCGACAACTTAATGCTTTGAAACAAAAGAAGTAGAAAAAAATAAAAAAATAAACGTTGGAACGCCAAGTTGCTACGATGTTAAACACGCTTCCGCTCGTCGCCAGTTCATTTCCCCGAAAGTCACACCGCGCACGCACCAGAAGAAAAGATGACCCTCGTGATTCGTTAATTCCACAAAAATGAAACTTTTCCGGTAGGCGTGCGCCTCCTGGTTGCATAATCGGCGAAGCCACGAGAATCGCGCGCGCACGGTTTCTCTGACCATTGACGATCGATGGAAAACCGTCTTGCGGTGTATTTAACGCATTTATATGCCGCTTTGGTAACACAGCGACGCTCGTTGTCTTGCCAAATGCCTCTGCGCAACCGGAGAAGAGTCAGAAATTCTCTCCCATATATCGAATAACCGCCGTTTATTCGTGTCACGATTGATATTGATGATTCTTTTGAAGAATTTTGACAGGATCGACGGATGAAATCTTCGGATGAAAATTTTTCACAGTCATTGTATGTATCCCGGTCTGTGATCGATTATTAGCTTCAGTATATATATCGTCTCTAGATCGAGTCTTTCGATTTAGTAAAATCGAGAGTTATGGCGGAGCTGTCCATTGTCGTTTTACATCACAAAAGCAGCCATTGTACTGGTCGGTGAAATTTATCGATAATTCTCTCTACAATAATGGAATTGAGGCTCGCCACGAAACTCGACGCATGTAACGACGCAATTCCGTGCGCGTCCTGCTCGAACTTCCGGTTGTTATTTCGCCGAGATACAGAGATAATGCTTCTCCAGTTTAGCTGTGCGTTTCCGTGGATTTCGAAGCCACTGGGTGCCCCGGAATTCGACTCGTAAATACCATCAGAGTCGTAGTCTGGCATGTATATCGAACGATCGAATCGTGTCATATATATCGATACTCTAATGCCCCTTCTGCCCACGCGAAACTACGCCACCTACTCGAAAGAGCCCTGCGGGTAAAACAGGCCGTCGGATCTCCGCGCACGTTCACGCTTCGGCTGTTTAACGAAAACACGGAAAACGCGTCGGACACGTGCTTGGAATAAACCGGTGAATCGTTTGTTAAGATGCATTTCCGGGGTGAAAGAGTTTGAGGATCTGAATCCTCAGCACGTGGCTGTCGAAAACTGTTAAACATGGCGCCGGGTGAAAGTGGTTATAAAGGATAAATAATTCTGTGTTCGTTGACATTTTTTCTCTGATTGTATGTACTGAAAAGTGTTGCCATTGTTCGTTCTTTCATTAACAAGGATGACTGTAGGTCATATATTTACGTTCACTTCATAATATCAATTATGTATATTATTCAAATTAGATAATTTAATATGTATATGTACATATCGGGAATCGTTTTTCTACTAATAGTGTGACTATTGTGAAGAAATAGGTGAACCCATCGTCTAAACACTCAACACTTCAGAGCGTAGGTTAGGTTAGTATAACCTCCACTCTATTGACATCACAATTTCCTAGCAGTCGATGCACCTGGCGTCAAATTAAAGGTGGCAAGATGTACGCCCGGCAGCGTGTAACACCTACGATGCTCAATGAAACCACGACGGAGAGACCACAACGGCGATGCTCGTAAACGTAGGACGGCAATAAGAAGAGAGAAAAGAAAAGAAACGTGGCGGGGTCGAAAGTCAAGTTTAGCCGTGATCTACGCCGATCTTTAGACCCCATGGTCTCGCCCGGATCCATGGTTACAATAGGGGTGACGGCAATGAGGGTGAGGAAATCGAATCCGTGAAAGAAAGTGTGCAACTTTGAAATCCGATTTGAAACTTCAATTTTTTGTTTATAAATAATACAAGAAGTTATTTCATATCATCATTGAAGCAATTTAAACGATTGGCTTAGAAAAAATTGTTGGAATTTTTACGTAGAACGTGCGTAAACATTTCTTTAATCTGAATTTTAATTGGATTTATTTCTTGGTTAGATGATGCAATCAGTTAATTTATGTCGATTCTTCCAAATGCATAAATGACGACACAATTATCGAGCTTTAAATATTCACCGATCAAAATCGAAGGATGAAAGCTAAAGATCGAAAGAAAAGCATACGTTTGTAAGGTAGCGTTTACACGTGTTAAATAAATCGTCGGAGATATACGCGGTTGCGTAGCATTAAGCGAGCGATCGAGAACAAGTGGCCGAAAGCAACCTGAAAGTCAAGTTTAGCAACTTTCGTTATTAGTCTTGCTCTCTCAAACTATTGTCTGAATTCCCGGTGAGTCGGTCACGTATGTTGCTGAAAGAGAGGAAAAGAGAGTGTCGCGGACAGGAGCACAGAGAGACGAGGAGGCGCGCGCGAGCGAGCGTTCAAGCGCGTTCGCGGCGTTTGCTGCACGTTCGCGTAATCCTCGGATGATGGATGACACTCGCTTTGCATAGTATTCGTCAGAACTGACGGCAGAAAAGTTCGAGAAACGAACACCACGAGCACGAGTGTCAAGTTTATGCGGCAATCCAATGCGCGCGCACGCCTATGAATTCCAGCATCTACAAATCGCGATGCAGCAAAATTATTATTTTCATCGAAAGTCAAAGGAACACCAATTGTTCACGAATCGGGTTACTTAATTGAATACACGGTTCGTTCGATGTGCAATATTTCGTAAAGATTGTAAAATTCTCTAGAACCAGAAGAGCCTGTAAGTAAATTCAAAGGGTGAAGAAATAGAAGGAGCAGAAAGATTGGTGCTTTCGTGGTCGCAGATGTTACACGGCGGTGCGTAGAGTCGCATTATGCCGAGTTCACAGGGACGCGACGGGTCGAGAAAGAGAATCGGGAACGGGAGTATCGAAAAAGGGCAGGGAATCGGTCGTAGGAAAGACGAAAAGAGAGAAAGAAAGCAGCAAGCGGCCACGCGGAGGAGTGAAAAAGGTGGAGGCAAAAGGGAATCGCTGCGAACGAGAGACGAAAAGGAGTGAAAAAGAGAGGAGGCGTAAGCGGGCGCACACACAGGGTGGCGGAGGCGGCAATGTGGATCGCGGGGCCGCGAGGTGTTCAGAGGGGGCGAGAGTAGGGATCGGGGGAAGGGAATAAGTAGGGTTAGGAGGTGGCGGGGTGTCGGACGGTATCCGACACGGTGGCGCGCGCAACTGTGTGTGTTTCGTTGGTGTGCGCGAGGGGTGGGGAGAGAGGGGTGGCCCTCCTCCCTCGGCGGGCCGGCTCAGAGGCAGAAGTGGACGGGCAAGCGATTCAACCTCCTTTCACTTTCAACGAGCGCGCACCGCGCTTACTCGCTCACTCATTCGTTTGCTCGCTCGTTCGCTCGTTCGTTTGTCGTTCGTTCGTTCGTTCGTGTTCGCCGGTGTTTCATGCGACGACGGATAGCAAACACTTTGTACGAAAATAGGCAACGCCGCTGATTTAGCCGCGTGTCCGCCCTATAAATCGTTAAATCGTTCAAAATCTTCCCTCGATTACATCGTGACCCTGAGGATCGCCGAGTCGTCATCGAGCACACGACCTCTCCTCTCGGGAAAACGTTGCCACACCACGAATCTCTTCGTCGCGATGTGCACGCTGATTGAATGTGCACCTTTTATGGCATGAGTCTTTTTTTTTTTAACTTTCTTGGGATTTTTTTATCCTTTTTAATAAGCCTTCTGTAGATTTTTCGGAGAAATTAATTTTATATTTTAGGTAAATGTACCGAGTCTGTCTTTGTGGTATAGTTTGGAATGGTGCACCATGTTTTTTTGAACACAGAGAGTAGATAGAAATTCGTGAAATGTAGTAGGTATCCTGGCAGAGAGGGACTGGTTCCTTAATGCGTCGCGTCTCGCGAAGGCGCGTTTTAATCCCTCGCTGGGCGAGGGAGATCCGTATCGAGTTCCTTTGCTAGGCCACTTCCGGCCCCGAGACCACACATCTGGGGATCTGTTGTTTACAATGTGGATCTTAACTCGGAGATGCAGCAATACTTAGTTTCGCTCGTAAATATCGAAATAGGTCGCACCGAATATCCAGTTTATTTTTAAGTTATTTCGAAATATTTTTGCATAATTGTTACCTGCAAACGTTCACGTACAATATTTTTACGAACATTTACATCAGCGTGTGGCAAACGGTTAAACGAAGTATGTTAACAGGTTGTCCCTTGTAGTTAATCACGAGCAATAAATAATCAACGTTAGCAAGTCACAGCGGTTCGCCTTTAATAATCACGCGTTTAACGTGCCAAATAACACCTGCAGCTTTCATAAATAGAGATCCATGTTTTATTACACTTATGTAGCTATTCGTTCACTATCGAACAATGTAGACTTGTAGAAAAGATAGTGTCGTGTTAGGAACAAGAATGGAGTCGCAACTCGTTAACGTTTTATCAGATTAGACCACCACCACCACTACTTACTACTACTTGCATTGAATATTCCTGAAACAAAGACCAAAAAAAAAAACGATAAAAAAAAGGAACCCTCGAGGTGATCAAGGAGGGAGGTACTTATATCCAAAGATTCTTTCAGATACGTTGTTGCTGCGTTACGTGTATACAACGGTAACAATGATGTTTCAAAATTTTGTACGTTTGCTTCTGTTATAGCCGTGCGAGCGGACCGGATGAGAGGCGGTAGGAACAAATTCGGACCTATGTACAAGAGAGACCGAGCGCGGAAGCTACAAATGCTGAGACAACGGCAGCTGGCACTGCAAACGATACGCGGCAGCCTCGGTGACCCATCGAACTATCCCTCCGCCGTAACGCCTTTCCTGCATATTAAACAGGAGATACAAATACCTCAGGTCTCGAGTCTAACGTCTTCTCCAGATTCGAGTCCATCCCCCGCAGCCGTGGCCGCTGGTCTGGTCACGACACAAGCTGGCAGCGGAGCTGGTCAGCATCAACTGATCGCGCCGTCATGCCAGCCAAACATTTCTGGCGGTAATCACCTGCACAACCTCAACACTGGCCTGGATAGTAAGCTGTGGACTGCCAATTCCACCACCCCTAGTCCGAAGGCCTTCAACTTCGGTGAACAGTCCACGCAGCCTCATGGGGCCGCTAGTTCCGCACCCTCTACCGCCGCTTTAAAAACTAGTCCGATGATAAGAGACTTTGTGCAAACGGTCGACGATCGCGAGTGGCAGGCATCCCTTTTTGGACTATTGCAAAATCAAACGTACAATCAGTGTGAAGTGGACTTGTTCGAATTAATGTGCAAAGTGCTCGATCAGAATCTGTTCTCGCAGGTGGACTGGGCAAGGAATTCTGTATTCTTCAAGGATCTCAAGGTTAGCGTTAGTAATCTTGTTGTTTTAAATATATACGTATATATATATATATATATATGTGTGTGTGTGTGTTTTCAACGTGTTCAATGTGGTTGTTGCGGTATAAATATGAATTGGTTCTATTAAAACGTCATCGATGTGTAGGTAGAATTGTGTGCGTATGTATGCATATGTGTGTGTAGCAGAGTGTGTATAGTGATATGTGTTACCGTCTCAGTTAAAACGGATCGTCCTTAGTTTGCATATGAAAAGTTCATTCTCATTTACAAACACAATTTTACACAGGACGTAGATATAGTTTTTTTTTTTTTTTTTTTTTTTTTTCAAGTACATTAGTAGATCAAATGGTAGTTATGATATAGACGAGCGTATATTTATCGAGCTATAAAAATTTAACGTTTTTAACCATAGTCGAGAATCTTTTTCAAGAGAAGTTAGTTCTTACCGATAAATAACTCGTCGCTGGCCTGTTGGTGGTATGAGCGGGGATGTGAGGTAACCAACAGCATTGCACAATCACTGAATGATTTCAAGCATCGCCTCATATCTAGGTCATAACAAGATACGTTTCTGGGTTATGGCGGTTGCCCTAAAGCAGGCCCATGTTAATTATAAACCGTCTACTTAAACGATTATACAGTTTTTGTTTTTTTTTCTCTGTAAACGTGTAAAAAATTCTGTTACGATTTCGTCGATACCTTGAGCCGTGTCTTTTATATTTTACGAACAATATGGAGCACGGACACGAGGACTTTGTCGCCTTTTTAAATTGTGTTTCGTAAAAATTGAAACACAATTTCTTTTACAAACAGATTACATTTTTCTTTTGTATCATTTTAAAATTTGAAACTTTAAGTTCCTCTTTCCTTTTCTTTTTTTTTTTTAGTTTCACACTTAAAAATTTTTGAATTTTCCAATATTCGAATTTTGAAAATTTCAAATTTTTTTCATTTCTATATTAATTATATTTAAATACTTGATTGGCAAATGAAAGAAAAATTCTGTTGGTATATTTTAAACGAACTTATTAGGAAAAAGTAAAACTTAACACATGGTTTTTTACAATTTTTGATATTCTTTAAACAGGTTGATGACCAAATGAAGTTGCTACAGCACTCCTGGTCGGATATGTTGGTGCTCGACCATCTTCATCAAAGGTTACACAATAATCTACCTGATGAGACTACACTTCATAATGGCCAAAAGTTTGATCTCCTTTGCCTCGGCCTACTTGGAGTTCCTTCCTTGGCAGATCTGTTCAATGATTTATCGTCCAAACTTCAAGAACTCAAATTTGATCTTTCGGATTACATATGCATGAAATTCCTGATGCTGCTCAATCATGGTATGCCTCTTTTCTTGTCTTTATTTCCTATATAACTGAATAAGAATGATTTTGACACATCAATTTCTATTTGAACATGTATAGAAGTCCGTGGGTTAGTTAACAAGAAACATGTGCAAGAAGGTCATGAACAAGTCCAACAAGCCCTTTTGGATTACACATTGACATGTTATCCTTCTATACCGGTATGTTCCTCTCATATATGAATATTAAATTCTGTTTTTTCTTCAAAATTTGAAGGTTTCCTGTGCAGTTTAATACATGTTTGTTAAATTTTATACAAACAGGATAAATTTAACAAGCTGCTAGCAGTATTACCAGAAATCCATTTGGTAGCGAGCAGGGGAGAAGATCATCTTTATCAGAAGCATTGTAGTGGTGGAGCACCAACTCAAACTCTTCTCATGGAAATGCTTCATGCTAAGAGAAAATGAAACGATAGATTCGTTTGGCACTTTTGCCATGAGTTAGTCTGTTGCTATATCTCAAAAATCAAGATAGAGCCCCTTATTGTCAGAGTGGACCTCAAGTACCTATTAAGAGCTAATGCTGCTTAGGTATTGGACCAAGTTAAGGGGCCCTGGTTCAAAAGATACCTATGCAAACAAATCAAGTATAGACGTATACATACTTTACATATATACATAATATATGTATTATAAAGTGTATCTAAATATATAAACATAATGACATATATTTTCTATATTTGATGTTGAAGTTTTAGAGATGTATCCATGGAGAAATTATTACCCCTGTTGGTGGGTACAAGCGCAGGGAAACAGTAAGCAAGATGCCTTGAAAACAGTACAAAGGGTGGTTAACAAAATATTGGTCAAAGGGCAGGCAACTTTTATCTAAATAAGTAAAGCTATTTTTCTAATACTAGACGCGATTATTTTTAAGCATATACCACTGAAGCCTTGCTCTCATTTTAACAAAAAAATATCCTAATAGTAACGAAAGAAAGAAATTGTCGACTTTCCAGTCAATCGTGCTTCTGCAAGGGATTCAATGGGCATACTTGAACGACAGTAAAATTTCATGTGATATACTTATATATACATATATACATATATGTCGCACGGCCACCTGGGCATCCTTAGAACTTCCTATAAAAAAATCTGCATTTTGTCACACTTGCACACAGCAGGGCTACTATATTGTAAATACTAGTTAACACATTCCAATTACGTTGTAAAGTATGAATCATGTTAAATATGTAATTATAATATTTTGTGTATAGTTTAATGAAATAAATATATTTCTGTTGCTTACTGAGAAAAATCATTAGCTACTTAATGTCTTCACTAATTTTAGAGTTTTATTCATGTATTTCTCTTTATTATTTTTCAAATAGGTGGCGGAAAAAGAATAACCACAAATTGCGATATTTTATTATTGTATATTGTATCATAATAAAGATTCTGTTTAAGAAATAAAAGAATCATTGGAGCAAGGTTTATGTGGTCCTACATTATCTAGCGATTAATACTAAGTATATAAGATCAATATTGTCTTATCGCAGTTGTTAAATAGATAAATATTTACTGAATGTTAAGATAGCGATCGAACGTAGTAATTTTTCACTAATAGATTATTATTGTTTAGTCAATAGTCAGAAACTTTTCAGTGCTGTGAAGGTTGTCTTTTCGACGCCTGTGGTATCTAAGCCATCGGTAATTACACGTGCTAGATTCGAGGCTCAAGTGTGGCAACAGGAACAGAAATCTTTGCTCGTACTGGTAGGCTGGTAGTACCACCCTTTGCAACTCCTACTGTTTATATCCTCTATCAAAGAAGTACCTGGGAAAAATGCTATTTTACTACTTTCACTTTTCCACCGACTTCGATATAAGATATTAAATATAGATTTAAACAATTTGTTGATGTACGTAAAAAGAAAACTCGATGCCACATTAGATTAAGAATCGAGTGTTGAATCAAACCAGAAGGAGTAGCTGCGAGTATTACTACCATGAAAGAATATATATAAGAATATATATTTTCGAAAGCATGCATGTACTTATCGTGTGAGTAAAGATTTGTGTCCACGGTAAAATTTTTGAAATCTTCGATATAAATGCAAAGTATATTGACATGTTCCCAAATTTTCAAATCGCCTGGTTCTTTTAATCGATCGATCAGAAAATAGTTTGTATTGTTATTGGCTCTTTGATAATACTTTCAAAACGGATTACTTTTATTTAACTCGCATATAAATGTCTACCTCTTCGTAACTGTATTAAGTCTTACATTTTTACATTTTTAGTAAACCACATACCTCAGAATAGACACCCAGATAGCAAATTAAATGGAATGTATGAATGTTACCTATGTAGACTTTAAGTCTACAACTTCTGTAATATGCGTATCGACAGAATATAAAAGTTCCATTCAAGTATTGTACCCGTTATATTTCCATGTTAACTATCTTAGTTATTATTATGTTTATTCCAAATTAGATTATACTTGTATATGACATGTATGATATATTTCAGTCGAAATTTCACAACTATCAACGAAGCCTCCAAAATTACACTTACTCTTATGTTGCTGTTTGGGTTAAATCAATACTTTATTTATTGTACTTTCATTCATCTTTAAGACTTCTTGTAGAACGTGTCGGTCTGATAATTTTGGAACAACTTATGAAAATCGCAAACACAACTATCTCAAAAACGAAAATTGTCTCTTCTAAATATGTCCCTAAATCAATGATCTTTGTATATGTCCATCCTATTTAATCGTCCGCTCGATTCTGTTATAAAGTGTTTATTAATAATTGTAATTAGGAAATACGATAATAGTGGTGTTATAAGCATTGTGTTAAATATGTACAGTTACCAATTATAATTGGCAAACGAACTAATTTAATATCGATGTGATTTTTTGATCCAATAAATAATTGGAATTAACATTAAAAGAAGATCTATTATGCGTTGTTAACACTGCCATTAGGAGTTGGCAATTGTAAATTATGTAGAAAAAAAAAATGATTGATTGTAAATATATCTTTATTATTAACTGATAACTGTTCCTTTTTAGGATTGACAGCGCTATTTTTTATATATTATACTGATTGAACTCCTATTAAACAATAATGATTCCCTTATCGCACTCCTGTCTTTGGTATTATTGTAAAATACGTGCAATGACCACGAGACAAACGATAGATTTCAAAAGGAGGGTAAAGGATGGTACTATGTAAATTATTAAGCAGACAATTTTCAGAAATTTACAAATAGTATTTCAAAACATTCAATTGTTTCATTATATATACAAGTTATTATAATTTAAATGCGTTTATGTACAACACAAAGTTTATTATAATTTGTAACAATGATGTCATTCGTATACCGAATAACATGTATATTAAAACATTTGTTTGCTTTGTACAAATATGGTAACAAGATAAGAAAATGCACAGTGGTTAATAAAGACATCAGCTAACTACTGCACTTAGCTTCATATTCTTAATTCACAATGTTTACATATTACACTACTTGTATCTCATTAAACACATTGCCTAATCTTACATATAAAATTGTGCCTCTTTATGATTTAAAAACAAATTATTTTTTATATTTGTAATGATATGATACAAACTTCTGATTATAATATACAACTTAAAAACTTGCTTTATTTGAGGCACTATATTTTTACTTAATCCAACAATCAATTGAAAACTACTTGTTTTACATTTGATTGATATGACATTGAATACTAACACATAATCATGCATGGTTGTTGTTGTATACTTTAAATAAATAAGAATGTTGACACTTCTGTTGCACTGATGACAAATTAATGGGAACAATACAATTTAAACCATTACTAAATAATTTTACACATATTAGAAACATAACATGTTTATACTGGATCTGATTTTAGATATTGATTGTATGCATCCTCGTTCATTAGATTCTTAAGTTCATCTGGATTAGTTATTTCCACTTTGAACAACCATCCTTTCTCATAACAAGAAGTGTTGATTAAATTGGGTGTTTTTTCAACTAGTTCATTTTTATCTATAACCTTTCCACTGACAGGACTAAACAATTCAGAAGCAGCTTTCACTGATTCTAATGCCCCACATTCAGCTGAAAATTAATTTAAATCAGCTATAAAGTACTTAATTTTTATTTTGAGAAACATCTAGATAAACATTCTGACCTTCTTTCTCTATCATAGATCCAATTTCTGGAAGCTGAGCATAAACAATATCACCCAGTGATTCTTGTGCATAATTGCTTATTCCAACTGTACCTATTTTACCATCAATTCTTATCCATTCATGTTTTTCTGTATATAATTTTTCTAAAACATGAAAAAAAAACTTTATTTACAACTTTGCACGAGAAATAATAAGTTTAGTTAGCTTTTGAAACAGAAAAAGTTATATCATTTACTATAAATTAATAAAATTTTAGTTTCAGAAAATCTTTAATTTTCACAAGAGCAATATTTAAGTATTTAATGCAACTGAAATGTTTTTCAAATTTTATTGATATAATTCTGTGATGTAACACTTTTTTTATATCATTATAGTGGTAAAGTAAGTATCAGTAACTGTACTATTAATATTAAGATCTTGTTCGAATGTATATCATTGATAACATGTAATTTTTGTAAAATGTTAAGAAAAAATCATTTTTCAAACTTACCGGCATTCAAGCATCGAGTAGTGGTAATGGAACGTGAAGCATGTAATTGCACTTTTGGCGTAGAAAGGCTGAATAAATTTTCTTTCGAATTACGTGGAAATTTTTGTACGGTGTATTTTGCCATTTGTGCAAGTACTTTTGCCATTCTGAGTTATATTTTCTCGATTTTGAAACAATCGGAAAGTTTAACCTTACTACACCCGTGCCGTCTGTAATGTTTCGTTCTCGACTGAGTTCATAAATTTTCCGTAATGCCGGCAGAGCTTAATATGAATGAAACGCGCGATTTGAACGAATGATTAAAAGACTTTTATGAAACAGCATATGTTCTTTACATTATCCGCTATTCTTATCGCGTAGCATACATTTCATCATCTTACAATTCAAACTAATAAGGAACAAATATAATGACATGTATATAATTATTTACTAAGTAAATGTCAATTGGAACGTTGTTTTTTAGAGTTTAATAATCACATTATTTATAGTAATTATAAAATACATAATCTAAATTATTTGAGAAATATGTGAATCAAGTTTCGGATACATTGTATAATTTTATTCAAAAAAATGACGTAAAATTTATATAACTACATGTTTGATATTGCTTTCATTTAAATAAGTAGTTTTCAATTTTTTACTTGTGATAATTTCAGAAAAATTCAATTTAGCTTAGAAATAAAAGGCTCTTAATAGTTTCAGAAAATGCGTGGTGTTATTGAAATCCCGAGTGTGATCACGTGAGGTTAAAAGGCCAGTAGAAACATACTTAACAGATAACTTGTAATTTATGTTATCAAAGTTGTACAATATCAGTGACCTCCATGTTCAATGTAAATAATCTATAAACAAAAATGTGAAACTCCATTCTAAAAAAATGTTTATTGAACTGCATCCATATTAGATCTGTCTTATGAAAGACCAGAAAATCCTTTAATTTACAAGAAATAAAAATTAAATGTAAGGGTATGTAAAAATGAGATGAATGCATAAAAATGGAAAAACAAAGAAGATAATCATGAATGCTTAAAGACTAATAGGGTGTTACTGAAGAAATTCAAATAAATGCTGTAAGTATTGGTTTCGCGGCACATTTTCTAAACACAGTTACATAGTAGAAGAGAGATGGAATCTTTAAATTTGCTCCAGAGATCACGTATTTAATTTTTGGATAAATAAATATTGTAAGTAGTTTGTACTATTTTGAAAAGATTTTATTAAGAAATTTATTTTAAGTATTTAAATCAGAAAGTACCATATTACTTGTTTGCCTGAACAAATAGTATATGTACATAAAAAGTTGCCGCATGCTGAGTGTTTTAAGAAACCAAGTTTAAAAAAATTTTCGTTACTGTCATATTACAAAAATATTGTTATAAAATTAAATTCCTTTAGAAAGAGACGAATCACAGAAATTGGAATTAAATCATAAACCTATAGTATAAGAACGACCACCAGGGTTATGAATAGGTCCTGGAAAAGGGTTACTAATACACCATTCATACCAGACATTTTTAGGACTACATTGGCGCCAAAAGTGAACAATTAATTGGTCCCCAGCTTTTAACTGCACTGGTTCCTACAATAATTAATCACTTAATTTCATGTAAAATGACATTAACCAATTAATAAATAACATCAATTTATTTTACCTTAATTGGGAAGAAAATAGGAAACCAGCTAAACATTCCGGGACTATGAGTACTCGGTTCTGTGCTCAATGTAACATTATTGTATAAAATTGTATCAAAATATCCAGAAAAACCATGCAGTACACAATTTTGTTGTACTTCGAAAACTTTCGCTGCATATCTTGAATTATCAACGGTACATACTGAAAGTAAAATATTTATTACAGCTGTATTGTTTAATGGTAAGTCTAAAAGTGTTACCGATTTACTGACCTCTACTCGGATGTTTAAATGTAAATAAAGGTTGTGGTTTTGCTATGTCATACTTATTCTGAAGATGGACTACATATGTTGTTTCAAAATGAGCTAAAGGATGTTTGTCTTTATCCTTACAATGTCGTACTTCATTGTACAATTTAGATGACTGTACAGGAGCAATATATGACGTATACGAACATGGTATATTGATACCATCATCTAACATAATGACACCATTAAATAATTTATAAAAAGCAGCACAAAAATTATAATATTAATTGATAATATTTGCAATAAAGATGTACCTGTTAGAAATTCTTGTACCCCATCTAAACATTCTGGAGAAAGTTCATTGTCACCAAAAGAACCAAGTAATTCAGATACCAAAATATCAGCTTTTTCAGGAGCAACCCACTGTCTCATATCACAAGACACAACTGTTACTTTGTCTTCCCAGATATCTGCTTTGAGTGCTTGTAAACTATATACATAATAAGTTAGGAAAATATATTTGTAAATACTAAACATCAAAATTTGTAGCAGTTGAAATCTTACGTTAATACTGCATTGGGATTTTTTTCTACAGCATATACTCTAATTGGATGATCTGCCATTTCTCCTGCATTTAAGCATGCATGAACTAAAGGCCCTCTTCCAGCTCCAACAACCATAATTACTCTAAAATTGAAACAAAGTTATATATTTTTAATTTATAGTATTTCATTTTTGTAATTGAGTATAATTATATTGTAAAAACTACATTGTTCTATTTCTGTCCCCTGTCCTGGCTGCTGTTACAATAATTGCTTGATAAATTGCAGTTTGATACTGTGTATATTTAACAGGATCCTTTTCAAATATTTCATATGTTTGAGATTCAAGGTTATCCATAAGTGGTTGCAAAGGACACTGCAAATAATCTTCATAGCCTTTAGCATATCTTTCAACTGGTCCATTCATTTGACATCCCTATATAAAATTATTAGAATTAAATAACAGCATTTGAAATAAATCATTTTCTAAAATTTTTTAAAAATAAACTTTACCTTCCATAAGTACTCCAAATAATTATGATAATAAGTAATACTTTGATACCGATTTGCTCCTGTAAGTACAAATTGTACTTCTAACATTGAAAATTTTTTTACTAAGGCCTGATGTGCTTTACTTAACACAGGATATCCTTTTTTATTTGTAATAAATAATGTTGTTGGAAAGATCAAACATTTAACTGGTTCTCCTAGCCACCTATCAATCTTGTAATTCAATCAGATTTGTTAATTTTGAATTTTCAACATTTATGGCACATGCAAAAAATAATTTTTTTAATACCTCTTCTTGATCAGGCAAATCATGGCTTACAATTAATGCAACACCAATTTTTCTATTATAGTCACAAATTATTCTGAAGGCATTCCACCACTCCCATGGATTTTCAACTGAACCACATTCTTCTTCTCTGTAAGAATAAGCCTGTTTAACTGGATTTTCCATAGGTACTTGAACCCAAGCCTAGAATGAAATTTAGAGAACTACACATTATAAGCATCCAATAAATAAATGTTGTTAATTAATATACCTGTAAACTGCATGTGCTTGTAACTTTATCACAGATGATTCTAGCAAGATTTATGTTTTCTTCTATTCCTTTTGATAACTTAAAAGTGATTCCTACCAAACCCAAATGACTTGCCAAAGTTAATTCTTGGTGTAATGTTTCTATACTGTTTTTCCTTATAATAGGATTTACTGAATCAACTTTAATGTATGGTGATAGTTTACCAATAATTAAAGTATTCCAATCTGTAAGATAAATTGTAATATTAATTTGATTATAGTATCATTTGTTTATTTTTCAATTTCATTACCAGAGCTACATAAAACTATATCTGGTCTGGTAAATGGGCCAGAACGTTGTTTTGCATCTCCACAAATAAATTCTCTTTTAAATAATGGGTGAACAAGTGGTACACATACAAACTCATACCTGTAAATTTGATCAATAATAAATTTCTTCTTTAGTGAAAAAAATGAACTGTAAAGTACATATAACAATTTGTTATTCTTTTGTACTTACTTTGTTGAATTTGCGGTAAAGAGACAATTACTCAAATCTGGTGCAGCACAAAAATCAAGGCCACAGGAGACTGGTCTTTGATTTGACATTATGCTTTATCATTAAACACAATAGTTGATTCCTAAAAATATTACAAGTGTAAAGCAACATGTAACGAACTTCCCATAATTTTATTTTCTAAACACCGGGTATTACCGGTACACTTCTACAAAAAATTACTACGTGATACATTTAATTTTTTAAAATTTCATATAACTGTGTTTAAGTACAAGTACCTTAATAATATTATTAGTGACTTATCTGTAGCGCGTATACGATCTTGACATTCAATTGTTACAAATAATACAAAAAGTTGCAAATTGTATAAACGCTAATTACAAATTGCACGTGCAATACCGCTACCTATAGACGTTGTAGGATGAAGTATTGGAAGTATTTTCATTAAAGGAAAATAAACTTATTTGATTTTTAAATAAATAAATGTGGCAAAATAAAGTATTTAATTCACTTACTTAAATACGATAAAAATCGATTAATTAATTTATTTCAATTAATTATATTTGCAATTATAACGAAACGAAACAATTCAATTTGAACTTTTTTAAAATCATTTATTACATAGAAATGAATTATTGCAATTTATTATATAACATTTAAGTAATACCTTAAACATTACTCTCCTGAAAATTATTATAAGGCAATTAAACTGCTGTTTTGCGAAGAGGAAAAAACCAAATTCATTATATATTTTTAGATCATTTTATGACTTTAGTACAGTTAGTATTAACCAATCAAAGACAACAATTGGTGTTCATGTCGACCATTTTGAACGCTGCTTTTACTGTTCTAGTTCATGGTAGACGCTTAGTGACTCCATTTCCTTGAGCTTTCCGTTTTGCCTCCTTTTCTTGTGCTGCAGTTGAAGTTGCTGCTTTTACGGTATGTAGTGCTTTATTTTTTGTTCAATTTAGCATAAAAATTATGCATTAAAAATTATTAATACAATTTACATTATTTAAACATAAAATAAACGAAAATTCATATCATAATAAATATCTTTTACATTTAGCAAATAGTCACATTGTACGGCGTCGTTTGGTATGTACAACTTCAACCGAGAAAATTTCGAATAATTATTTTTTCTACTACAAATGTAATATGTACTTTTGTGTTTATTTAAAATGTAATAAGTATAACTGAAAACTCTTGTTTTAAACGTAAACGCCCAAGTGAGTAAATTATTAGAAATTATCTAACTCTTATATCGGAAATAGACGTCCTTTCATACTCCATTTATAAATTAAAAATGGGGAGCGTAGAAACACGAGATTGTGCAGTGAGATAAAGCAGTTTTTAATAAAAATTTATATTGTATGATAAAAAAGTGAAATTATGATTTTTGCAATAAATAAATAACTTATACTTAAACATATGTATAAAAATATATATTGTAATTATAAAATAATTATATATTATTCTATCATAATATATTCATTATATATTTACTTCTAGGTACAATGTCTTTCAATCGAGGAATAAAACGTGATTCCTTTGGGAATCGAAACTTTAATAATCGAGGAGGTGGAGGTGGAGGTGGTGGAGGTGGAGGCGGGGGGGGTGGGGGACGGGGTGGTAACATGGGAGGAAGTGGAGGAGGCATGGGTGGTGGAATGGGAGGAGGAGGTGGAGGTGGTGGTGGAGGAGGTGGAAGCGGTGGAATGAATCCTTGGGAAGGAGGTATGATGCCTGGCAGAGGAATTTTACCAACACCAAATAACAATTTGCCTTTAGTATCACCACAAGCACAATTAGCAATAGCCAGTAACCTTCTTACAAATCTACTTCGTGGTCAACAAGAAATAGTACCACCGGTAAAAAATTTGTTATACATATATTTATGATTTTTATTACAGTATAATGTACTACAAATAATACTTTATATTTGCAACAGTTACCATCACTCCTAAGCATTGGCAGTAACTATTCTGGACCAGGACCTAACTTTCCAAATCAACAGAACTTTAATTCAGGGCCTTTTAATGATCGTCCTGTTAGGCACCCAATGAAGAATCAACGACCACAACCATATAATAAGGTATGAATACATGATTATTATTTAGTATGCAGATTGTTTTGAATGGAAATTATAAGGGCAATCTTTAGTCCACACTTCTTTTTTTTTTACATCAACAACACCAGTCCTTAGTTTGAAAGTTTGAAATTCTCTGTTTTATGTTCATTGATCGATTCATTAATGAGGCTTTCAGTCAGTGGATTACATGCTACATGGCTACCCTGTGAAGTTACTAAGTATAAGTGATGATTCGTACTGTTGGACTAGTTTTGCCACACATGATTTTCATAGGAGAATTATTTACTACCGAATGTTATTTCGTTAAATAACACGATAGCAAGACGTGTATTGATTTCAAAATAGTATTTCTCATTTTTAGTAGTGGAAGTTAACTGTGGCTTTGTGTAACAAATTTCAATGTAGACATGCAGATATGTTTGTCATCTGACTTGGTTCATTTATATTCCACCCAAGTCTTCTATTCATCATTGCAGCTAAAATTGATGGAAGAATATTATTCAAAAGTATTGATTGCAAGATGCATTTTTCACTGACTTAACTTCTTCTTCTTGTTAATTATTTTTCATTCAGCTTTATTGAACTATGTTCAAAGGAAAAAAGTATGTGTTTTATAAATATCATATCTTATGATCGACAAGATCATTGCCTGTACAAAGGTAGATGATGCAACAATTGTATGCATCTTCAACTGTCTACTACTACTTTCCTTTCCCCTTCCACTAAACTGTGGAAATACTGACCTTTGGTGTTCATTGAAACATCAAATACGTCCTGCTTCCGAATTGAGTAGAATATTTTTCTCCCTCAAACATCCCAGTGGTTGATCAAGCCAAATTCGATTCGAGAAGAATCACAATTATATCAGATACTTCTCATGACGGTTTGGTCATTTGACCTACATGACTAGATGGGCAATCGCGCCCGTGATGGCCCTGCTGGGCGACGTGGTCCATCTGCACAACAATCTCGTGCACCCCAGTCTGGCAGTCAGCGTATGAATGGAAACCAAACTCAGCATCGCAACGATAAATCTTCTAAACCAATTCCTGCCTCTAAACAAAATCAGACTGCCAAAAAGGAACAGCAGGACATTAAGACCTCTGATAATGAAAAAGCAGAAGCACCTGCTGTAACAAGGTAAGCTCCTGGTGATTGTGAATAGTTTCTTCAAACTTCAGTAAGTCTCATTCTGTCACCTATCTCTGTACGTACGGTGTTTCTTACGTACGTACGGTATAGTTGCTAAAGAATTAGCATTGTGTCCTTTCTCTTGTCTGATTTTTAAAAAATACATACGTATATATACGTATATACATATGTCTACATATTATGTTACATATTCACTCCTCATTGTTGATTAAACTCAACTCACATTTCAAATTTAAATTAGATTATCTACAATCTCATAACTCTAGTATTTCACAGTCATAAAAAATATGCCCCATATGATCTTCTTACAATACACATTATCCAGATATTTGTTCATAATAATAGGTTGATTAAATTTTTTTACAGTTGTTAGAAGTGTGAGTTATCTTCTTTTAACTTAATATCACGCCCAATTTCTTTCTAGTTCTTGATATAGAAAAGTTTGTGTACATGTGTTTTCACTAAAACACATAATAGATATAATATTTTATATCACCTTAAACACAAAATGAATCTCGTTGATATTTGTAACTATAGTAACAATTTTGTGTTTGTTTCTATATTAGCGGAGAAAATGAAGAGTCTGAAGAAAAGAAGATTGATTGGAAAGATCTAAAAAAGGAGTCTGAGGAAGATTCAATTGCTAAGACTGAGGAAACAGGAGAAAAGACTCAGGACGATACCGAGATAGAAAAGTCTGATAAACCTGCAACAGATGAAGCAGCTCCAAAGGACGGAAATTCATCTATAACTGAGAAAGATGCAAAGATGACTGGCAAGAAGTCAGAAGCTAGACATGCTGAAAGTCGTTACGCAGAGGTTCCGATGAGTCACATGTTCTGTCATATTTGCAACAAACACATGTGGGATGGATATGTAAATATTTTGTATTTACCATACCATTAGGGTCAAACTAAACTTTGACTTTTAATTCCTTTACTTTTTATAGTCCTTCGAAAATCATTTAAGAGGACGAGCGCATCAGTTGATGATGGAAAAATTAGATGAATCGTATAAATTAAAAGTTGATCTGATGAGGCACGAATTAAGAGTAGCAGAAGAACAGCGTGAACTTAGTTTAACTAATTCGAAACGCCGTGGGAAGAAAGTAAGTGTATCTGTAGAAGTAACAGCTGAATATCTTAAAGAATATGAAACATTTACCTATATTTTGTTAGGTTTCTGTGGATCTTAATGTACGAGAATATTGTACAATGTGCGATTTGAACTTCTACGGAACATTATCAACTCATAGGAAGAGTGAAAAGCATCAACAGCTAAAAACATTTTTACATCCACGATGTTTCCCTTGTCTAAAAGAATTCCCATCACGTATTGAATACGATGAACATTGTTTAACTCCTGCACACATGAAGAATGCAGTACAGTGTGAAGAACAACGAAAAAATAAAAAGAAAGGTATTCAAAAAGTAACTATATTTGTACTAAGTATTACCAAATTTTTGTATTTTAACCTTCTTTTTTCTTTTTATAGAAAAACTTGCAAAAGGAGAAGCTGAAGTACGTACTACTGAAGATGAAGAGAAAGATGTTGGCCCTGATAATAAACCCGAAAAAGAAGAAGATATCGCAGGAGAACAAGAATATATTACGGACATTGTTGAGAATATAAGTGAAAAGAAATTCAAAATTCCATCTTATAAATATTGCCGGCAAAATCAAGTGTCCATTGGTAAGTACTTGCGCTATGTGTAAGTGTAGCTTTGTATTATATCTTGATCAATATGAAACTCACTTATATGTACTGTTCCAGGAAAATCTATGGTGAAAGAAGTTCAAGGATTTTATTGTGAAAAATGCAGAAGGTTTATGCTTTTAGCTGATGATATGAATGCTCATTTACGTAGTATCACTCATTACCGAAACTTTGTGCAAGAAGTAAAGGCTTTAACTTCAAGTACAGAAACCGCAGAACAAAAAGCAACAGATAAACAAGAGGTATAATTTTTTAGTCGACAAAATTTATTTTAATACGTATCGCAAAACGTAAAATTGTAAATTCCTCATTTTTATAGGCTAACGAAAATACTCAGGAAAATGATAAAGAATACGAAGCACATTGGAAACGTCGTAAAGTTACTCATTCTGACGATGAAAATAACGTCGAAATGAAAGAAGTGCAAGAAAATAGTACTGAAAACCCAAATGCTTTAAAGAAAACTGATGGAGATGAAAAGTATGATCCACTAGAAGCCGATGCAGAATCTGAAGAAGAAACTCATGATACTGAAAACAGTAGCGAGCAACCTTCACAAAATGCCACTAATACCCAGGAAAAAAAGACACCTGTCGATAAAATGTGGGCTGACATTGACAATGATAACGAAGCGGAAATAGGTAATTTAATTGACGATGGAGATGAGAAAGAACACACTGAGCATGAAAAACCTGCGCAAAAATTAGAAAGAGAAAGTCCACAAATAAAACCTCCCTCGCGTGGCCGAGGTTTTGCACGTGGTCGCGGTAGCCCTCGAGCGCGAAGAGCTCGACGATAAAATGATTTCTATTCCAAAATCAGAATAAGCTTGGGTATATTTCATAATTATTATATCATTTAGTGTGACATTTAATGTTAGGTTTCATTAGTTTATTCGATATCTTCAAGTCATCGATGTTTAAGTAATTAAACTTTTTCTTATATCTTTTGACAAAAGAGAAAAAAAGAGTGCCGTAATGTTTATGGCTCTTTTTACATGTATGAATAGAATGTAGGATCATTCATGTATCATTCACGCTATAAAAGTAAATGTGACCTTTACAATTAATCTATCCAAGCTTATTTAAAGCGTTTTAATTACATATTGTCATTCACAATGAAGTGTAGTACGTGCAGATTGTTAAACAAAGTAATAGATTTCAGAAATAAGGAAAAAAGTAAAATGGTATGCTTTTGCGTATGGACATTGATTATATATTAGGAAATACTCTTAATATTCAAGTAATTAAAACATTTTATGGTTTTTAAAATAAGAACCATAATCCAAACTATATAAGATTCATTCCTATTAGGCTTCTGCTAATGAAGAATTTAAATGTATCTTGCAATAAAATTAAGATATTGATACGAATTTTATCCTGTTTATGCCTAATTGTAATAAAATACTTGTAATCAAAGTTCATAATATGAGACACTGTAATAGATTTCTTTTCAATAATCTGATAGAATTTTATTGTAGGACATACCTTTTGTGTGACACATAAGGCGTTGTAAAAAAAATTAATACAAAAGATCATTATTCAACAATTGCCTTTATACTTGATATTATAGTCTCTATAAAAGTAATTTAATTTACAACAATTTGCGTCCATAAAAAAGTTGGTTCTAATCGCCACATAATGTGTCAGTAACAAGTGATATAGCTTTCATTATTTCTTTATATTATTTTTATTTCTGTAAGAATCATGAAGAACAATGAATGTTTACTAAAGCACCTAAGTAATAAAATGTGACATTGTACTTTTAAAACATTTGAAAATTTGTTTCATTCCAACATTGGACTCTTGTGTATTAGTATGTAGAACCGTATAAAATAATAAATAATCTAAGAAACAAAAAAGAATGTTTCTTTATACTGCACCCTTTTAATATAAATACTGTATAAATGTATTATAAATGTGCATGTAGCAGAATTAAAGGATTCTTAGAATTTAGTAGGAACGACAGTGTAAATAAAATACTGCTTTACGAGTATAAATTATACAGAAAACGTGATTATTTACATTCAAAATACATAATAAAATAAGGTTTAAATATATACCATGATTAATAATATTAATCCATAGAAAGGTGAGTTGTTAAGAACTCATCAACAGAATCAGTATCCCATTTATGTATGTCCAAAACGTCCTCAACTTTATTGTCTGCATCCAATAATTTGATTATTGGATCTAAGCCCCTAACATATTTTATTTGTAAATTTTTGTATTTACTTGGTCGGTTACTTTTTATAAAGGCTGTAAACAACAAAATTAATGTGCATAAAAAATATTTGTGTTATTATTTCCAATATGGAATAAGAATCTTTACCTTGAATTTGTGGATATGTACCAAATTTGCATGTGCAAACTTCAAGAATAGCACGTGGATAGCGTTTTAATCCGGATGCGTCATAGTCATCATCTTTTAAACAACATTCTTTACAATTGTCCCTGTAATTGTTAAATATTGTTTTTTGATATTAATAAGGAAAACATTAAATTACAAGTTTTGCACGTTCTTAATTGCTTACCATATTTCTGTTAAGCCACGTTTATTAAACTCCTCGCAGGTGGAACAAAGTAAATTAGCTTTGTTAAATCCTAAACTTTTGCAATCGTCGGCTGAAAATTCCGCTGACACAATATTCGCCTAAAAATACATTGTTAATTGTATAATGAGTATTAAAAAACAGTACACATTAATTTTTCCTTATTATCACCAATTTATACGATAAATATAATACATTTTATTCCACGCTGATTCCCACTTAATAGGTTAAGTAGTAACGATTTTATTTCTTACCACTAAAGCAAGTGCCAATATGTGCACTAATGTTAAAAATTCCATTATATTATCTTAAATATGCTAAATACATGGAACAAATTATGTATTATTTAAAAATATAGCAGTTAATATAAACACACTTAAATCATACGTGTCATATGGACAGACACTAAATACTTAAAGTTCTATTTCCAATCCACGGCACTGTAATACATTATCAATACTTGTTAATTCTGAATTCATAGAATTAAGAATAAATTAAGTTAAGAAATATCAACAAATATATTTTTTATTTTGATTCAATGTAAAACATTTAAAATATTTATAAATTACGGTAACGTTCACTCCTCGATTTATCGAAATTCAATCGATATTAGCAAAATCGCAAATGTGAGGAAATTTGAGGTATCGTAAAACCTGGAGTAATAACCACTTTAATAATTTCTTATGTACAATAACCTACCGAAGAATTACGTATGGGCCATTAATGTATAACACAACATAAAACAACTTGGAATAGCGCGTGTAATGTTGAAATTTTCAACTTACATAAGTGCTTGGATCTTCTCAATCCTTCTGTTAGTTGTTCCTGTCACCAAAACCGAAAAATACATTATTAATACCATCGATTCTTCCACTTATCATTATTATTATAATCACTGTGGTCACCAGTATTGTGAATCGTTAACAAATTTCAATTATATCCTCTTAAATTTTACGCACGTTTTGCAAGATTTCATAAATATTCTATTAAATGGCACGTGTGCATACGACTCTATATCACTCACAAATTCATTTGAAACTAATAACTCGAAAGATGCAATTAATAATTTAAAGGAATTACAAAAATTGTCCGAAGATAAATTAAAGGATTTTCCAATTTATACCGAGAGGATAATAATACCAAGTTCTTTAAAAAATGCTATCAACTATGTTAATAATACTTTTACATTCAACAACGTGTTGCCAAGATCTATAAAAGAAAACAACAAAAGTAAAAAAAATCGGGTTCACTATACATGGAAACGAAGAACATTGTGTACAGTTTCTGATAATGAAAAATATTCCACAGAAAACTTATTCGAAGGTAACACCTTTAGTGGCTCTAACGAAAAAGAAACAGGTGTAAAGAAAACACTACTAGATTATGATGGATCAGATTTCATGCATGATGCTGATTTAGATTCTTTAAAAACACATGTGCGTGTAAAAAGGGATAAATTAGAATCAGATTATATAAAAGACTTGGTCAATTCTTTTCCTCAAAACAATTATGATTCCATTGATGAAAATTCTTACGACGAGGACGTTTCGTTTGATACGAAACGAGAAATTAAATCAGACGAATTTTTAGTAAATGACGAACAGTCTAACGCATCTCCAGATGAGAATGATCAACAGAAAATTCTCAATGTTCAACCATTCATGGTTCCTGCATACTTTAGTGACGATACATCCGCCAGAAGTGATATTATCAGTGCGCCATCTGACGTTAGTAAGGCAAATACGTTCGCAAACAAAAATGTAAGATTCGTAGATCAAACAGAAAAGCAGGGAATGACGTTACAAGAACTGAAAAATGACGTTATTTCAAATCGACGATCATACGAGAATTCAGAAGTTCAAAATCTACCGGAAGATCCTATGTTAGCTGTAGAATTAGTTAGGAAAAAGCGGAACGATTACGCAAAAGTACATGGCAAAAGGAATTTAGAAAAGAAAACTTCATCTGGTATACAAAACCTGATCGACAGCAAAGGGAAATCGCACGACAAAGAAAAGCGATCAATTCTCGAGTCGCAAAAATCTGAGAGTCACTTAATTCCGTCGAGTTTAGTTGCTGCGAATTTAAAGGCACATTTATTACGTATCAGAAGGAAGACGAAAAGTAATAAACGTCATGAAAAGAATTCGAAACTAAAAAAGGAAAAGAAACATGCTGGGAAGAAACACAATACTTCGAATAATTCTCAGCGATCAGTAAAAGATGTTCGTTCGAAGAATACGGATCGATCGAAAGTGTCTCGCAAGAGAAAAGTGCACGAGGCAAAAAGCGAGGGTAAACCAAAAATAGAAATTGATAGTGTAGTGTCTAAGGAAAATAATGACAACAATTTTCGTCGTAGATCCGTAAAGTTGAAAAAATCGATCAAAGGAACAGACTCCGAAATTGACGTTTCCTCGAAAAATAACGAACCAACGTTGCATGAAAAATTGAAAGAAGTTAGCGAGAATAAAATTGACGATGTTAATTCCAAATTTTCGGAAAAAAAGAGCACACAGTTTGGAAGTGATGTTAACGAAGTTAAGGCGGGATCAGACGAAGATACAAATTTATTCGTAACACAGGATGAAGAACAAGGAGTTTTTATTAATGACGAGCAACCGATACCATCGTTAGATGATATAAAATTACGCGCAAAAAGAGATAAAAACACGCAATCGCATCATGGCTTTCTTAATAAGGAAGAGGAATTGAGGTACTATGAGAATGTTCGGGAACCTGGGTCAGAAATGGATCAGTACGATAATCAAGATGAAAATCAACCTTCAGTGGGTAACGTAGTAGAAGGTAGTCGAGCAGTAAGATCGATCGAAGAAGTGAAACAACTTGCACAGAAACTAGTGTCAAAAGTAGGTACAATAAGCAATGCTTCTACAGATATTTTTTTCTACCTAACTCACGTTTTTAAATAATAAGATTCCTTTCAGGTAAATGAGCTTCAAAATTACTTGGACATCGAAGAGTCCTCAGGAGACAAAAAACGAGAGAAACAAATTGAAACACGCGCAATCGACGATTTATGCGCGAATGTTAGCACTGGTTGCGACGTTTTCAAGGAAGCACCTAAGATCGTTCAAAAATGTGTACCAACGGCGAACAATGAGTTTGGATCGAAAGCAAAAATTGTCGAAAGAAAAGTAGATCCAAGTGGAGTTATCGACGAACGTAAATTCGCGAAAATTGCAAATAAAAATTCGGTGGAAAAGAAGAGATCAGTGGTTAGACGCGTTGCAAAAACATCACCTAACACTTCCAAGGGAATTCCTAGGCAAAGTGAAAGAAAATCCCGTCTTAAATGGGGCAAATGGACAGACTGGAGTAGCTGTAGCGTCACTTGTGGTAAAGGTCGTCAAATAAGATGGCGATATTGTTTACGCGACTGTACTACAGCAGAAACTGAAATGGAAGAGAAGGCTTGTCAATTGCCAGCTTGCCCGCCTGGTAAATTTCTTGGTATATTTTAATGTCATTATTTTATAACGAATCAAAATTCAATGGATTACGCGTTACTTTGTCCATTTTAGTGTACGTCTACATTATTATAATTTTGTATGTCGATATATGTAAGATTTGTAATGGTAGATTTTATGTAAAAATGTAAGGAAAAAAGTACTGTTAAATAAAGAGCTATAAGTAAATATAACTGACTGTTTTGATTCCGTGTTTGGTTAAAAAAATTATTGTTCAAGTCAACGATGTTAACACTGTTGTGTAACAAATCGCATGATGTATATTTTTTTCGTCTCATTACCAAATACACAATATATTATATAAAATATTTTAAACAAAACTTTGTTTTCCTTCGTACGTATTCACAAGTAACGAGTCTTCGTTGCTTACAGGAAGTTTACTGTAGCCCAATCATCACGCTTTCACGAAGTGAACTATGACGCTTTCTTTATTCTTTTTTTTTTCTTTTTAATAATCGTCACAAAATATTAGCGACCACAAATAATCTGTGGTTCCAACGCACTGACATTTAATAACGGTCGGTTTGCAAATGTACAATTGTTCAATTTAGCGGATTAACTTTGTTTCCTTTTGTCTACGGTCCGCACGTTTTCCTACACATGTAAAATCCCGTATAATACACAATCGTTTACTCAACAGCATTCATTTTTTTCTTCTTCTTCCCGTACGTTTCAATAAATCGTTGAAGAATTTCTAAATATGGAATTCGTTCGAAAAGTGTTCGCGCGTATATTAAATTCAAATTCGTTAATTTAACTCAGGGGCTCAACGAAAAATTCGTGCTTACATTATTAAACGTTTACATATCTACAGTGAAACGATACACATTCGTCCGCGTGATCACGCGTAGACAAAAATCACAGTGACATCGCACGATTCATAGTTAATATCTTCGATGTCGTGCAGTGTAAGTTTCATTTCTTCTTTTCTTTACTTCATTTTTGTTTTTGTCAACCGTAAGTTCTTACGTTTTGTCAACCGTTACGTTTCCTTGACGTAAGGGCACTTATCTGTGACGCGTACAAAGTTTTATCAGTCATAGCACGAAAACTTGGGCCGACGACCGAAACGTCGTATATAAAATTACGAAATAAAAATGCACTCCCTTTTTTTTTATTATTCTGAATTCGATTAAAAACGATCAAATGCGTTCTGAGTTAATACTTAAGAGAAAAACGATAACGATTATCGTGTGACGCTGAAGAGAACGTGCTATGACCGTTTACCAAAGAACAAGGAGATCTCGTCGATGCGATATCTCCAATTAGTAATATCCGGCTTGTCCAAGGAACCACTTACAAATACATATTGATCACAATGGTAAACGCATACATACTCGCGAATACTAAACCACGCATACTGTTCAAACTCCTTTTAAACACGCACACACACTCTTACATAATTGCATAATGTCTTTTGACCATTGATACTTATAATCTGTCTTAGTCTAAAAGGGCGCGGAAATCGTCGGTCCCTTGGTCGTAACGACAACGTTTAAGTTACACTTTGTCTATCTTGACTGCACTAAATGGTATATATATATTTTTGTTTGTTTGTTTGTTTGTTTGTTTGTTTCGGTAAAACTTGAGCTCATTTTTACATCATAGATACACAACTATCGTATTCTTTGAAAAGAAACCTTTGCTTCTAGTTTTCTCGGCATAGACATATCTCTCTTCCCTCCTAATTAACTTTCCTCTCCGTCGACAGGTATAATTCATGTGTGTTGTGGAAGAACACTCGTACGACATCCATCTCTCGTGGCAGTCCAGTGTAAAATTGATTCGTATGGCAGGAAATAATTCGAACTTTGATAATCATCACGTAGATCGAATTATCGGTTAAAACAATATATTTCTCGACTGTTCGGTTTTCGTTTGCGACAGTATATCTAATACAGGATTCTCTTCGCCACCAGCTAGCAATCGCACGTCTCTGTCCGGATCTGATCTCATCTCTTTAAGTCTTCTCTCCACTTCTTCTGCCTGCTCGACTCCCAACCATTCTGCTAAAAAATCGGTAAAAATACGGGTATTTCGTAATTGTTCTTCTCTCGGCATTTCTTTCTTCTTTTTTTTTTTTTTTTTCAAAAGAATTATTCTCTTCTACGAAATTTACAAATAAAGTATACTTACGTCCCATGGAGACAACATTCTTCGACAGAGTTCTCGCCACGGCTAATCTCACGTTTGGTACTTTGTCCGAGGATAATTTCAACAAATTCGGTAACATCTCCTGCGAGAATCTGTCGCCGCTGATCGCGTTGCTGGATATTAATTTCGCGCATATGAGAGCAAACGTCTGTCGTCTGATCCATTTTGTCCCGTTCACCGCAAGAGAATACTTCAGCTCTTGGAACAGAGCTGCGACGAGGCGTTCGTTGTCAGAAAGATGGGCCACTATTTGCGTTACCTGTGTACACATTGAAATAAAAAAAAAACCATCAAAGACGCATTTGCCAATATTACAAAATGTCCATTCTAACGTTATCCTGCAGAGACATGCATAATAGTGAACCAGAAAAAAAAGAGCCCTACCAAGGATAACGCAACGTGTCTCACAGCAGCTACTTTATCGCGAAGTAGCTTAAGGGACAGAGGCACGATATGTCGTTCTACGTCCACCGGACCGAACAAATTCACGATCTCCAACAGCTGGGTGGCCAAATCCTCCCGGAACCTCCAGTTCGACTCGTTGTCTGTAGCGAGGAATTCCTTCAGTCTTGGTAGATACTGTCGTCGATCGACCGGTTTGAGTATTTTTAAAAACGTCGATAAATGCTTCAGTACACCTATCCTGACCTCGTCCAGATCTTTGATGAATCCGTCGTAGATCGGTACGAGATCGGTGGTAGTGAGTTCTTGGCCGAGAATGGTGGCTAATTCGTGGATACTGTAGGCCAGAGTGCGCCTAACTTTCCATTGATTCGCGCTCGCCAAAGACTGATAAGCTGACTGCAAGTAAGGCCAATTCTCTTTGCCCAACGTCAACACAACCGCGGGGAAACTGAACGCGCAATGATGAAGAATATCCGTGCCCATGTCTGAACATTCCGGCTCTGCCATGAATAAGAACGAGTTGACGAGATGCAAAGGGACGATCTTCTGTCCGTTGACAATGATCATCTCAGGTTCGTTCGCCGAATACTCTTCTTCCTTCAGTATATCGTCCAACGAGGAAGCTTTGCTCGACGCAGTGGTGTCGGTCATTGGTTTCCAATCAACGTTGTTCTGAGCTGCAGATTTTTTCGCAGCTTCGACGAGCTCGTCGTCTGGAGGAAGGTCTGGAGCTATGTAGTAGTATAAAAACGGATTGTACTTTTCCGTGTCGTCTGTTGTTTGATTCTCGTTCTTCGAATGCTTCTTTTGTGTATGAAAAGAGAAAAAGACGGGAAAGGTTGATCGATAAATGTGCAGAGTGTGATAGTTTTCGGTAAATGTTTCAGGTGGAAGGAGTAAAATTTACTTTTCTGTGTATATACATATATAGAACGATTCACATTGAGAGTCGTTTATAGTGGAGAAAACGAAACACAATTACGCTAATGGCTAGTTTCCTGGAAATGGAGAGGAAAATGAGGTACAGGATGAACACGGTGTGTCCATACCTTCGTCATATAAGCTCTCATCCTGAAAATATCTTTCTGGGACTCATCCTTGTCGTCGTCTTCCTCGTAAATTGGTTTTTGTATTATCACAGACGAATTGAAGTTATCCTTAGAATTATGATCCTCCGGCTCCAGTATAAGATTCTGTATCACGCCTTTCGTGGGGAAAATTCCTTCGTACGAGTACCTTATACTGTAAACATATGAAAATCGAGATACGTGATGAGATTATGGAACGTTTCACTTTGGGCCAGAGTGGAAAAGATAGAGAAGTGTTTGATCGATCAGAGTTACGAGGTGAAGAGAACAAAGGATCGGTGATAACATTCAACCAAGTAAGGGTTAAAATAAAAGAAACGTTTTTCACAGCTTTTTATACCTGAAACGAGGATCTTGTTGGCTGGTGAACACTAATTCGCCACGTTGATACGTTACTTCGGTAAACTCTTTCGCGAACGTAGATATAAATGGTCCTAAAATTTGAAAGGCGGACATTCGCACCCATTTCGAGTCGTCGTTAAGATGCGTCTCCAGAAGTTCTGCCAAGAGTAATTGACGATGCTGGAGGGTCATGCAGCATGATACAGGAACCATAACTTCCACGCACGCTTTTCGGATACCCCACACTTTATTGCAGCAGAGATCGACGAATATCGGGAACTGCAAGATGTCAGAAGAAAAATTAATCGAGATGTTCCACAGTCCTTAAAATTCTAATTTATCAGAATCCCAGAGAAGGACACGTTAGAACGAGGTAATTTTTGAAATAGCGCAACAGAAAATTCATATTCTTAAGAGAAGACAGAATCTATCCAGAAAACGCTTACCAGTTTACGAAAAAGCGCTTTCCTCCCGACAGCGGCGCAAAGTTCTCCAAAGTGCGACACGCAGATCTTTTTCACGTAGAACTCCGTGTCCTTGCACAGGGCAATGTATTTGTCCAGAAAAATCTTTTCTGTCAGCTCTTTGCCAATGAGTGGCGCCAACTTGTTCATGAGCTGCGGATCGATATAATAAACAAACCATATACCTCTTTACGAATCTCGTAATAGCATAGCCTTTCTGATAGTAAAGCAAACATGACACAGTGTTTAAAAAAAAAAGAAAAAAGAGAAGTCTAACCCAGTATGCAATGGAAGAAAATTGGAAAGAAAAGGTAATCACTCGATATACACGTGTACACCGCATAGATCATTTTCTTAAACTTGCACTACTGTACACATTTACGACTCGAACACGTTGTCTGGACGGTTTAAATCATGGTGAAAACGAAGATACAAGTCGCACCATTCCGCTCATCTAAGCTAGCTGTGATACGAGTATAAATCACCACATCACAACTACTCTGATGGGAGGAACAGTGGAATATTTTCAAACACCTGGAAAAATAGGAGAAACAACAGGGTACAATGTATCGAACGTCGAGGGATGCGCTGTGTCGAATAGCGAAACCGGAAGATCGGACGAATTCGGCGGAGCAACGGAAGATCGATCGTTTCGTGTGTATCTCCTCCTAGCTGCCCGCATCATCTGCACGAATCAGAAGGTCATTGTGCGACGATCAAACGAATTGGGCAGAAGTGAATCATCCTATCATTGTTCCCGAACTTGTGTGCACGACGGCTGTACCAAGTTTCGTCCAACTTTATTCCTACCGACGTTCGAATCTCGACATTGGAACGAGCAATTCGAGGAAGCTCGACGAAGTCGCAAATCAGGTATCAGTTCGTTACAAATTTCGATCTTCAATATAAAAGGGAATATTCGTCTCGGTATCGATTTCCTTCACAATTTAGTGGGTTTGGATTTTTGCAACGTGTTTCTTGCGTTTCAACCCTTTCGCTGTGCAATGATTTTTCTGTTGCTATTTACTGTTTCGTCGAGGAGAATAAATTTTCACGTCCTTCGTTGATCCGCAGTATTCGTGTAAAGAGTCGACACCATAAGTGCTCAGTGTTTTACGAAAGAACACTCGCTCTCTATCGAGGCAGTCGAGATTTTCCTTCGAAATGACTCGCGGTGGAACGTTGTTTCGCGAGGAAATTACTACCACAAGACCATGAAAAATGGACGGACGGAATTTTTGAAAATTGAGGACGATTTCTGACGATCGAACGCGGCGCCACGCTCTTCAAAGCTAGCTGTGATATGAACTCTCTCATCAGCATATTGCAACCACTTTGTGAGCGCTGCACTCGCGTTAATTTTTTTTTTTCTACTTCGTCTAAGCCAACGCAACGATTAAAATTTCATCTCTCTGTTATTTCACTCTTCTCTCCCTCTTAAGCGATACTTTTTCTTATCTCTTACACGGACACCTTCGCTATTCTTTCGATGAATCGGTTTTCATCAGTGAGAGACGACGCGACGTCGCAAAAAACGACGATCCAATATTTCCAATTAAGCTGTGATATGAATTCTAGAAAAGCAACATGTCACAACTAATTTGGCGATTGGGCCGCGTTCCTCTCCTTCTTCGAAAAGACTTATTCGTAAATCAAAGAGAATCGTTCATCCTTGCTGGTCGACGTCGAATTTTTATACTTTTTTAAAAATTTACACACAAATGTCGAAAGTTACACGTTTACATCCGCTGAAAAGAAAAATCGACACTTCTCGTGCCGAGTTACCTGTGAAATGAAAAAATTCCCAAACGTTATATCCTACTTTCAGACGCTTTCAAGAATCCAGTGGGAAAGAGCGAGCACGAGAGGCACGTTCCTCCCTGATGATCGATTCTGCGAGCCAAATACATTAAATTGGCTGTGATATGATTGAACAACATTTCACAACCAATTCGATGTATCCGACTGCAAAAGGTATTTTCATTTCGGTGCCTGGTGTGCTCGATACAACCTTTGTGTCCCATTCTCCACACGTTTCTCCCTCCTACTCATCTGTACACACGGTGTGTGTGTGTGTTACTCCTGCGTATCGTTCGTTTCCGTTGTCCCTCGATTTCGCGAGAGATACACAATTCTCTCTCTATCTCTGCGGTAATTATTTTCACGCGTGTCTCTCTTCCGTTCATATCTTCTCTCTCTCTCTCTCTCTCTTTCTCTCGTTCGATTTTACTTTTTCGTGGAATCACGTGCCGAGAACGAACACAATTTTGCTCATCAAAGCTGGCTGTGATAGTCGATCTCTATGACAAACCAACTTTGATGGTAAAAGCATGTCCTAGTGTCACTTGGAATAATCTTCCTCTATCTTCTTCTTTCCGAAGTGTCCTATTCTATACCGTTCTAAAGAGAAAAAAAAAAAAGAAAAAAAAAGAAAAAGAAACATCTCCGCGAGAAGAGTCGTTTTCTCCTCCAAGTCTTGCGCGCGATGATGGTGAACGTCGCAGCAGAACGGACGCCGGATGAAAGACAAGATAGTGAGACGCGATAGCGTGAGAACATCTCACTACCCATGTCTTTCTGACGGAATCCGCCCGAAGGAGGGCAACGGAAGGGCCACAGCGCGACCATAAACTCGCGCGACACCTACTACAACATACTGCCGCTCGTTCTGTTCTCTCCCTCTCTTGATCGTTGCTCTCTACTATGCTTCGTTTTGCATACGATCGGAGTCGCAGGAGAGTCGGAATGGATCAAGAATGCGACTCGCGAGTTAACGCATCGTCGCCCCATGTCTTCCCCACGCTCTCGTACTTTCAATGGACGTTACTTTATTCACCACATGCGCGCGATTCTTTACATACGTATTCTTTAATTAAACAACCTATCGTGGGCTCGCCTCGTTCGAACAGGCACTTCTATTGGGAAAAAGTTCGTACCGAGCCACGCGTTCCTCGATAGAATGTTAAACAAACGAGCGATAAAGAAGGGGGGGGGATTTTACGGAAGTAGCCTTGTCCCATTCAAAACCTGCTCGAGATAACCGCGAGATAAACCATGGGAGGGATGGTTAGATACATCGTTAACCCTTTCGCAGCCGTGACAGCGAAATTTTCATCTCCGGCGTGTATCTCGTTTCCACGTGAAAGCGCGCGAAAGATGAAATTGAGAATTGAAGAAAGCACAGCGATGAGCAAAATTTTCCAAGTGTCTATAAGCGCCACGGTAACGAAAGGGTGGAACAATCTATCGACTGGCGCAATTCTTCAAACGACACTCTCTAAGGGTTAGTTTAACGATGGAAAAAGAAAATAGAGAGAAAAGCGTGTGAACTTACAGAGATGCCAAAGTGAATGTAATCGACGGAGCTGCAGAGGGTATCTATAATGGGGCATAGTTTGATCTCGATCGTGTGGTTGTCGAGCAGTCCCTTCTTCGTTAGCGTCAGCACCGTCGCCTGGGTCGTCATACGTATCTGGGGCCAGAGGAACCAGAGAGAGAAAAAAAAGAGAGAAAAAAAAAAGAAGGAATTCGTCAATGGTGCCTATAATTCTTCGACGCGTTTACGGTACTTCGTGCACAACCGTCGTGTGGGGGGGAGAAAAGAAGAAAGGACACACGATTCGCCGGAAGGACGGGTAAAGAAACGCCGAAAGATCGAAAAAAAGGATTTCTGGATCGACGTGAGGTACCGTAAGAGGCAGGGTAAGATGCTTATCGGTTCCCGACTGTCGATTAACAGCCATGGGAAACACGCACGAAATATTCACCAGATTATCTTGATCCTGTAGGTATTTGATAATGATGCCGAGCAGATGATCGTGGAGAGCATCGCCGAATAGATGAGGCGCCTCGTGGCAGATTGTCGCCAAGTGCGGCAGTTGCTCCATCAGGTCCACCCGGACTTGCGTGTCTGCAATCAGAAATAGATCGGTGTCTCGATTAGCTTTCAACGTTCTACAGGAAATTATTTCGTCAGGAACGGAGAACGACGGAAAGAGGATACTTTTGTTCAGATGGAAAATTTCTGTAGGAATTTCTTTATGGTAATAATTAATAACACACACAGGTATTATTGATCGTCGTTCTTGTAAAATTTCGTTTTTACCAAAAAAAAAAGGAAAAAAAAAAACAGAAAAGATCGTACGTGATTCACCTTCGTCGCGTGGAATGAAAAAAGAATTCAGCAGCAAAGAGCAGCAGCCAACGCGAACAGGCCACGAAAATGTAAATTTATTTTAATCGACCTCGATACGATCGAAATCGCCGATACTCGACTGATTTCCCTCAAATAATTAATCACGAAATATTCACGGCTCGCTAACGAGACTCTCTTTCCGCGAATCTAACGCCATTCTCTACAGAATGAAAAAAATTCCAAACCGAAATAAGGAGGAAGAGAAGAGAGAGAAAAAAAGAATCGTACGGAGAAAGAGAGAGATCGAGAGAAAAAGTACGGTAAACAGTTCTCTCTCCATCGATTCTGTGAAGAAGGTGGCGGCGGTTCTAAGGAGGAATCCGATCGTTTCTTTGCGACTCACGATCGGTCGGCTAGCCGACAGGCCATTCGTGCGTCGAAAGCGAGAAAAACAGGAGGAAAAGCCAGGGGGAGGGGGGGGGGCCATTCTTCGACGTTTTCTCGACCTTGGACGTTTTTATTCTACCGACAGGCAATGCTTCGTTGTTTGCTTTCGTGGAAATACCTGAATGAAGAAGAAGGGCGTCGCAAATCCGGCGCCCCTGCTGATTAGGAAAACTCTCTCGCACCTTTCCAAGCCTCGCCGCCGCCATAAAGAACGAGAATCTTCCCAGTTGGTCATTAGTGAAACGACCCTGGGTTCCTGTCCGCCTTACCGGACAGGTGGAACGCGATGGAAATTACGTCTCGCTTGTTAATTTGCTCGAAAATTTTCTCTCCCTTCCGAGTCAACCTGTCTCTCTCTGGCGAGATAATTACAAGAACACACGCTTATACATTTCCAACGAATTTCAAGAAAAATGAAAAATTCCACCAAAATATGTAATACATACGTACCTAATCTCGCCGGTTCGTGAGAACAGAAAGAAAGAAAAAAATTCACGTACCGCTGAATTGTATCTGCTCCGAACATTCTTAACCACCCCCGTCGAATACATGGACAACTTCCACGCTACTAGCACCGCGAAGCCACTCGAACGGCACAGTTTCAAGTTCCTCGACGTTCCCTCCATGACTTGGATAGCCTCGATTCGACCAGAAACGCGGAGATACCTCCGGGGTGAAGCTGAACTGCCGCCAAAACTTGGCGAAGCACACCGCAGTATACGCGGGAACAACCTCTGAACTTCCCCAAAACTCTCCTTACAACCGCGTCAAAAAACCACAAGAAATCTCTCGTTCAATTTCTTCGAGACGATTTACAAAAGAAAAATCAAATAAAGAATCGAAAGAAATCGAACTTTCACTTCCAGAAAAAAAAAAAAAAACACTCGCGAGAGAGCACCGTGTAATACTGCTAACACCGCAACGTGGGTATAAAACGCGGGAAAAGGTCCTCGAGACAGAGAGACAAAGTCCCAAGCTTGGAAAAAATCAAGCACACCCGGAGGAAGGTCCGAAAAGAAGAGAAGGCACGTTGCAACCGAAGAGCGTGGGTGCGACTGAGGGTCGTGTCGATTTGTCGGTCGCGGGAAATGCACCTTCCCGGTTTCTAGGACTTTTCCAACAAAGTGGTGGGGGTATCTATAGGGTAGCTGTTACCCCCACCACGTCGACAGGGCCCAACGGGGGAGGGAACTGGAAAGGGTAGGGGACCGTGGTTAAAACGGGGTTCGTTCGTTTTCGGTCGTTCTCGCCTCTCCCTTTCGTGTCGGGCCCCGCAGATCTCCGAGCACGTGCCCGTTTTTCCCTCCCCTCCTATTCTTCCCACCCCACCCCACTAATTTCCCGTTTCTCGGCGACTTCCATTCGAAAGATTGGCTCTTCCTCGACGTTTCCTCCCTCGACACACCACGCCCCCGCCCGCCCCTCTCTCCGTGTCTCGCCGCACAGAAACGTTTTCTCGAACGACGAAACGCGAACAAGAAGCACCCGGTTTTCTCTCCCCCCGCCCTTTTTCCACTCTGCCTTTTTCTTCGCCACGCAGCCCTGGTCCATTAATCACGCGCTGGGTCTTATCTCTTCCCTTCCCCGCCTACTCCATCCTTGCGCGCCTTCTGTCCGGGACACGAGATCCCGCCAAAAATACCCCGCTGCGTTCCTTCAGGATTAAGCGTAACCGATTATTTACCCTCGGCCATCTTCTTTCGTTCGAACACGCTCGTTTTCGTTCATCTCTTCGTCGATCGTTCTTTCTTCAGCAGCCTGTTTCATTGTTGACTGTTATATATATATATAGGTGTGTTTGAAAAGGTGTTTCTTTCTTTCTTTTTCTTCTTCTTTTTGGCGCGCTTTCCTGTGGCCACGTGGCCGATTCTTTTTCGCGCCCATTTATACGATGGGTTTTACGTGAGAAATTCGATGGAAACGCGTGTTCGCGATCAGTATGGCGGCTGTTTTTCCCTTAGCGATTCCGTGAAGACGAACCCAGTTACGCGGAGACGGACGGATCGATCGTCGGTATCGATCGTATCGGGCCGATAATGAGACACCCTCCGGTAATAGGGACACTGTTCATAGAAACGGCCAGCGAGATCCGTATGAAAACCACCTTCGCGGAACAACAACTGTTCGAACCCCTTTCGCTTTGCGGGAACAATTGGCTTCGTTGCATTCTTATCGGGAGAGAGAGCGCGTAACTAGAAGGATCGTCATTGTTTGCCACGAGCCTTCTTTCCCTCGCAACCGGTAGGAAAAAATACATTTCTCGTCGTTCTTGTCGGACATTTTCTCAGTTATCAAGCCTGTCTCCGATGCCTTCTTCGTTCAAGTCTTATCCCAAAAAAATTATCTTAACCGTTTCTTCGTTCAAACGTCCCAACGCAAGCTGTGCTGTTTCTCATCGATCGAGTAAAGATTCCAAGTCAAATCGAGAAACCTAAGCTGTATTTTCCTAACCTTTACCCGAAGATGCAGAAGAAGAAAAAAAAAAAAAACGAGGAAGGAAGCGTCTATTTTCTTGTCTGACGGAGCTTCCTTCCACATACGGCGAGGAAAAGTCGGAAACGAGTCGACGCAAGCAACTGGCATCCTTCTTCTTCTCCGTGGCCGATCCGTCGAAGGGAGAAAGGGGCGCGTGTTCCACGTCCCCTTCGAATGGCTTTCCTCCCGAAGAAACCGTTCTGTCCAAAAATACGTCACGGCGTGTAGAAGAAAAAGCACGCGTGTCGCGTGCCCCGAGTCCTGAATCTTCCTTCTTTCTACTCGAGGCCAGCCAGCCAAGTCAGCCAAAGCCAGCCGGCCAGCCCTCTCTTCTATGCTCCCTTTCCACACGCTTCGATCGGCCTACGGAAAAACACCGATGCGGGCACGTGTTACGGGCAAGATGTTCTCGTCGACGTGAATCGTCCCTAAAAATAGGCTGGCCGGTGTGACACTCGCCTAATTGCGCCTCGGGATGCACCTTTTCCCGACAGTTGCATCCCTCGAGAAACGCCTGATGGCTCGTAGCACACACAAACACACACACACAGACGTTTCTTCGTAATAGTGTAAGAGAATTTTCTTTCAGCGAAGACTGTCGACGACGAATCGATTATACAGGGTGTTTCTCTCTTTTTTCTCTTCCGCTCTAATGTCGGTTCGTTAACGTTCGAAAATAACTGCGAGACACGGAATACACCGTCCAAGAACGATCGATGGAGTTTATTTGCAATTCGTACCGATCCCCTTTGTCGCCGCGGGTACGACGTATTAAGAGGCGCACCACCGGCACAGAAATATAAAAGGGGATGGGGCGAACGTTTGTTTCACGTGGCGGGGTCCCGCAGAGGTCGGCGGTCTTAAAGTATTTTCGAAGGCTTGAAGAAAAGAAAGGAGCCATTAGTGGGATGAAAACGCAGTGGCGCGTCATTTTCCACGTTTCCTCGAAGCGGGCCAGGTAAAAAGAAAACGTTTTTCGCGGAAGGATCGCTGCTTCGTCCGAACCCACAGTGTAGTGTGTGTGTATGTGTGTGGCTCTCTTCTGGTTGCTGCTTTTTCAAAGGTGCTTCTCTTCCTTTTCTTTCCACCCTGTCCCTAACACTCTGTCTTCCTCTGTGTTTCGTTAGGACGACGTTTCACGTAGATACTCATCGACGGTACATCGTGGATGACCTTTGAAACACGCTCTTCTGCGAAACTGCCCTGGCCAAAAACGCCGCTGCTGATCGTCCTTCCTGCTCTCTCTCTCTCTCTCTCTCTCTGTGTCTTCGTAGAATAGGAAAAAGGGGGACAGGCAGGCAGGCAAGCAGGCAGAGAGAAGGATGTTTCTCGATTTTTCAAAAACGACTCACGCGCCATTGACGCGCTCATTTTCATGGTTCCTGGAAGCTTGAAAACCCTGGTGAGCTTATCCTTCCTACCAGGCTAATCCTTTCCGCCAATAATCCCATGTTTAGCGACATTTATCGAAGACAAAGAGGTTTCGATCAACGGAAGGAAAATTATATGGTGGCTTTCGAACCCGATACCGAGGCGGTCGCACGCAGGACAAAAGGCGAGCCCTATTTTTCATCGTTACCAGAGTAAATAGCGCGATATAAATTCCTCGACCCGTTTTTACGATTTCATACGCGATTGTGAACGCGTTAGCAGCAAGACAATTAGCACAAGTTTCTTTAAGCTTTTATTGCTCGGTTGAAAAACACCGGTGACTGTGTGCTCCGTGTAAAATATCAATATTCCAGAACTTTTGTCCGATTTAATCCCTACTGTACCCTATTTCACCAGAGCTAATAAAAATCTTTCTTACCGGTAATGACGCGTTTATACGTTACTCGTAAAACGCGTGCGGCGGTGGTACCGTGAAATATTTCAAGAAAGAAGACAAAACCTTCTTATTGTATATTCTTCGCTCGAAACGCCTGTGTTTCCCCTTCGAAATTCCGCGTCGGCGAAGAAGTGGGCCGGACGAAAAAGTAAACCGTGCTGGCGCGACCTCGTATAAATACCTCGTTGGGACGCACACGGAAACCACGAGAGACTTCCGGTGAGGCGCGTGCTGCACCGGAAGCGGGGATAATCTTGTCGTCACCTCGTACACGGAGCAACAGCCTCGCCTCTGCAACCCCAACTGGCTTCTTCTTCTTCGTCTCCGTCATTTACCCCAACGATACACGCATACACACGGCGGTAACGCGGAACACGTTCTGTCTTCTCTCAAGAACGCGTCCTGGCCCTGTCTATTTTTAAACATTCTCCCCCCTCGGCATAACCAAGCGTTTCTCGTTCGAGGAAACGGGGCCAAGCAACCGGAAAAACAAATGGCGAACCGCCTAAAAAGGAATTTTCTCGTGGCGAAGACACACGCGCGAGCGAGCGCCTTCTTCTTCCACGAGCGAGACGTTCTCTCTCTGTCACGTATTCCAATTTTTCCTCGTCACAGCCGCAGGACGGAAGTGGCTCGTTGACGATCGGTAAATATTTCTCTGAGAGACGCACTGCAACGTGAGTGGGGAAGAGCACTTTTTCCAGAGTTGATAAAAATATACACGTGTTTATCAGATATATTTGGACGTGTATTTTTATTTTCTTTTTTTCTCAAGATTCTATTATTGTGGAACGATCAAGGTTAATTTAGGTGGAATAGTAGGTAGTAAGGTGAAAATAAGGCGTGGCAACGTACAAATTGTGTCTTCTCGTTGCCCAAGAAAGCAGAATTTTGATGCGATAGTAAACCAAAGCCACAGTTTTCACATTTACGGTGTTAAATGACGTGCATTTAAAATTGACGCCTACTGTGCCCTCGTCTATTATGAAACCGATTATCTTTCAATTAAGATTAGCACAACTAAGAAGCACAAAAATCGAAAGCAACAGCGTGACAAACTGTAGGTGTTGTAACAAAGGTAAAGCGTAAAGCAACGATAAAGAAAACATCGTGCGTGAGCAGTGCGTAAAGGATTTGGCTCAGAAGTATTTCCAATCCTTTCGTTTCACACTTTCGTTCAAAAACAAAATTACGCGACTGCAGTAATGAATGCAGATTGTAGAATAAGCTGAAAGTGCGTACAACTCGGGGTGCGTTACGTGTGACGAGCATTAAATGTTTTACACATGTTTTAAGTTTAAAAATTAAGTTAGTAGAAAATTTCGGGGAGAAATTTTTGGAAATATTTATTTTAAGAACGAAGGATTAAATCCATCAGGATGGAAATTTATTTGATAGTTGCAAGAGTAGGGAAATGAATGAGAAATGTTTTTTTTTTTATACTTAGGGTGGTATCTAATTAACAGATAAACGATTTTTCGACTTACCAGGATCATCGACGATCTGCAGCACCGACTGCATGATCTCGTTGGCGTCGAGTTTCGTTCCATTGTTAGCTACGGTGTGAAACCCCTCAACAAGTATCCTCCCGATTCTCGGTCTGTAACAAAGAATAAGAATTCGAAGGTTAGACGATGCACTTTGCAACTCCGACTGTGAAAAAAAAAAATAGCTTACAATTGTAACGACGAGGAAGTTTGAGAAACCTCTTTCTCAAATCCTCGAACAATAAAAAAACAGAACGTTAAATCGATCGATTGACACTTCAAAATTGAACTAAATTTCCTTCGACGAATCATTAAATCTTCCTCCTATTGTTAAAATCCTGAATATCTCTTCTACCGAACTAGTACTAGGATACGCAAATTAAGGAGCACAATGCGACAGATTAGACTTTCTTAACAGGTTTTCCATGTCCCATCGATCCAATTTGCGCTCGAACTACGTTTCACAAATTCGTCTAACCCTCTCTTTGTCGCGACAATTTTTCACACTTTCTCTCTCTCTCTCTCTCTCCACTTAGTAACGATAAACCAGAGAGAAATTAACAACCGCATGAATTTCAAAGCGGTCGGTTCTTCGAACCGCCGATTCTCACCGACAAAACGGTCCAACTTCATTTTTTCTAAGCCGGGGTGGTGCCGGTCGATCCACACCTAGACAATGCATACAAAATGAACGGAGAATGGGCACGAATTTACGAGCAGCATCTCGCCGCGAATATAAATCCTCCGTCGAGGCCATCGCGCGCTTACCGTTCTCTTCCGCGAAAGACGTGCCCCCAGGAGGGCGAGAGAAAGAGGAGCAAGGGTGAAAAAAGAACGAAAGGAAGAAAAAGAAGGTCGCGAGAAAAAAGGGGAGGTTTATCCAAGGAAAATTACATTTTCTCCGCGGAATCGAGGCGGCGAATGCAAATAGCAGAGCGCTAGGGACGATAATTAACGGTGAACACGGAACAAGTTCACCGTTGTAGAGGAACGAGGGGCGGTAAGAAGGAAGGGGTGGCGAAGAAAAGAAGTTTTAACAAGGAACGATGGACCACCACCGTTGAAAACGAAGGCACGTCGAATGGTTTCACGCGCCCCCGAAAACGCCAAGTTTCGTCCGGGGGGCCGCGGTGGTTCCCCAGGCCAATTTTCGTCCCAACTTCCCAGTCAGCGGGGAAGAAGTTCCTCGTGCCGGCTAGTTACTTCGTCGAATCTTAACGATCGAAGAGTGCGGAGGGGGCCAATTAGGACACACGAGAGAGAGAAGCCCGCAAGGGAGCGGGGCAGTGGTTGTCAGCCGGCCATCGAGGCGGCGTATCGAGAAAGGCGAGGCGAGCTCACAGCACACGCGTCCTTCTCGAAACGAAAAATCGAACGGGTGAAACCAAAAAAAAAAATCCGAGCAAAAGAGCGAGGAGCGCAAAATGTAGCAGCAGCGCGTATAAAACGCGACTCTCTTCGTTCGGGGAAAGGAGGAAAAAAAGCGGCCTGTATCACAGGGGCGAGATAGAAACGGGGCAGAACGAACGAAATCGATGGTTGGACAGAGAAGAGAGAGAGAGAGAAGAAAAAGAAAAAAAGGAACAACGAAGCGTAAAGAAGACGAAGGACGGAAGGAAGGCAAGAAGATACGCGAAGAGTTCGATCCTCCTGTTTGGCGTCCTCGCAAGACTTCCTCCCACCACTTCTATTTCGAAGCGTTGGTGGGGGTAACGCTACCCCCTCCGCTCGCTGTAATGCGTGAGAGGATAGATGCGGCGCGGCAAGGCGATGGTGAACGGAGGTGGGGAGGGGATAGAGGAAGAGAGCGCTGCTGGCGGCCGCGAGACGAGTCGACAACTATAAGCTAGCAGAGAGAGAGCGAGACAGAGGAGGAGGACGGAGGGGCGGTGGAGGCACGGTGGGGGGTAGAACAGGCACCAACGGAAGATCGTTCGCGGTACCCCACCAAAAGTTTGCCGGACGAACAAAGGTGGGGGGGTGGCCGTTCTCCAAAGTCGTTGGAGAACGGGTAGAGGGATGGTTCCGCCCGTGAACGCCTACTGTGCCGGCGCAAACATGGCCGCCGCCGGCGTCGTCGTCGTCGACGACATCGGCGGGCCACGAGGACCACGACTCTAACTCCGTTCATGTAGCCTTGATGCTTCTCTTCTTTCTCTCTCTCTCTCTCTCTCTCACCCTGGGACTACCTTTGCAACCAAATTACACGAACACGTGAGGATCAATTTGAAATAGGATTTCCTTCTTTTTTTTTTCCCCGCTGGTTTGCAACTTCCTCGAACGATCGATAAAACGAGGGAAGTGTACGTGGAATATGGTGTAGAATCAGGGGACCCAGACACACCCCCTCCGGCCCAAAATTGAAGCACAACAGAACACGGCTGGCGCAAAAACTTCACGGTGCTGCGCATGTTCGTGCTTCAGGACGGCTCGTAAGATCGATAGGGAAGACGGCGGTTTCGTGACCGGCGGGCTTCGGGGGCTGGTTTCGATTTTAGGGGAAAGTCGATTTGACGGGGGGATATTCCGCTCCGGACGATGTTACGCCTTCGAAAACTTCGCTGTGTAGCGGGCTTTGCTGCAGGAGAATCTTCACCGAAGACAGTGGTAAATACGTTTTACGTTCGAGACCAGGGATCTATGGATCGAATTATTACGAGTCTTTTTAAGCAATATTTTTCGAACTTCTATAAACTACGAGAAATTCGAAATAACTTTACCTAACGACCGACAATTCCAAGAAATATCGAACTTCGATACGACGATCATTACGAAAAACCATCGACGCAGGAGTCCATCGTGTTTCCATTCGGAGCGTTCGGTTAATCAATCGGCTGGTTGGTAAAAATCTTTCGGGATTTTCTTCTTTTTTTTTTCCCCGCTGGTTTGCAACTTCCTCGAACGATCGATAAAACGAGGGAAGTGTACGTGGAATATGGTGTAGAATCAGGGGACCCAGACACACCCCCTCCGGCCCAAAATTGAAGCACAACAGAACACGGCTGGCGCAAAAACTTCACGGTGCTGCGCATGTTCGTGCTTCAGGACGGCTCGTAAGATCGATAGGGAAGACGGCGGTTTCGTGACCGGCGGGCTTCGGGGGCTGGTTTCGATTTTAGGGGAAAGTCGATTTGACGGGGGGATATTCCGCTCCGGACGATGTTACGCCTTCGAAAACTTCGCTGTGTAGCGGGCTTTGCTGCAGGAGAATCTTCACCGAAGACAGTGGTAAATACGTTTTACGTTCGAGACCAGGGATCTATGGATCGAATTATTACGAGTCTTTTTAAGCAATATTTTTCGAACTTCTATAAACTACGAGAAATTCGAAATAACTTTACCTAACGACCGACAATTCCAAGAAATATCGAACTTCGATACGACGATCATTACGAAAAACCATCGACGCAGGAGTCCATCGTGTTTCCATTCGGAGCGTTCGGTTAATCAATCGGCTGGTTGGTAAAAATCTTTCGATGCCTCGACGCATACAGAGGCCAGTAGCCGCCGATTCTCATTATCGATATTAAAGCCGCGGGCTCTATTAATGAGCACGCTGCTGTTATTTCGGCGGTAACGTCGAACGCTTTACGCGATCGCGTGTAATTCGCGCGCAGTTCCAGACGAGCGCCGCGCGAAATTTCATTAGCGACCTCGTGAAAGGGCGTGTAAGAGCGAGAGAGAGAGAGAGAAGGAAGAAGATTCGGGGGTGGTTTAAGGTGGGCGGAGGGGACGCGGACGTCCGCGGGAAAATATATCGCGTCTTCGACGTCGCGTGCAGACTCCTCCTCGAGATACAACGTTGTATTCGAGTCGCGTGTGCGCGTCCCGTATCCCGTTTGAACGAAGAAAAGTGGATTTGCCGGGTCGTTTCGAACATGGCGGCCTGAGGAAATGGACATAATGCCGCGTCACAGGGTAGAGAAGCGATAAAACCAGATATATCGTTCACTCGTTGCAGAAAGCTACTTAGTGGAACGTGTTATATAAATACCTGCGTTTTAGGCTAATTCATTGTTCGATCATTGTTACGAACCAAGTCAACTGTAGGTGGGTTTGATATCAAATTAATAGACGTGACATGATTTGAATTGGAAACTTTGCTTTTTCACGCGAGATCAAGAAAAAACGAACTACTTTTTTGGGATGTCAATCTTGAGAATATAAAAAGTATAGAAGTCGGAGTAAGCATGTTTCGGGTGCCGAGACAATCGAATCGAGAGAAACTCACAGATTCTGAAATAGGAAAAAACTCTAAATATTCAAATTTGCAGATTTTCCACTTTAAAATGATACATCGTTAGCCAGAAGTCGTCGTTCTTTTATTCCGCGGAGTCTCGAAGCGGAGTACAATGTACGGGCCCTAAGAGCGGCGACATCAATCGCTGTCGCAGTTCGATGGTTTGAATTTATTGACCTCTCTATATCGCGATCCATGCTACAACATTCTTCTATTATCGACTGTAGATATCTGGAATTTCGATAGCACACTCGAAAAATCGTTCGTTTCGTTTGCTTCCACGGAACCTAATCATTTTCTGCTTTTATCGCTTTATTACCCTTTCGTGCACGTTTCTAACGATTTCGAGGAAGGAAGAAAATAGGAATTAGAAGAATAGAGCAGCTTTAAACTTGCGGTCTTAATTCACAGCAATCGACGATTCGACAAAGACAACGTTCGTTAAACAAACGCATCCGCGATTGACGTCGAGGAACGCCGGCCGCCCGGCGAACTTTACGGGACAAGTTGACTGCGCTTTCTAGCCACCGGAAGTCAGCTGTTATCTCAAGAAGCAAGCCGGCACTGAACGACAAAGCCCTGTCTCGACCTCGTCTTTGACACGACCGACCCACATTCGGTTTTCCGCGATCGTGCCACTATCATCTATCTCTATCTTTCCTATCAGAAAAAATTGAGAGAACACCAACCACGCTCTAATCAATCACGTCATTTCAATCCAAACAAATTTTCAAACAAAATCCGAAAAATCGAACGAATCGAGGCAGGAGAATTCATCGAGACAAGATAAATTCCCATGGGCCCAGAGGCCGCCCTTTTGGTGCTCTCCCCCCGACCCTTCATCTAGCCCAATTCGTCGCGAGGGGAACGCAC